GGGAAATGGAAGCGGCTTTGGGGCCAGTCGACTGTGCTTGTCTTGTTCCTACATGGGTAGATGTATTGATATGGACCCTGATGAAATCAAATACCCAGGCAGTTGACAACAAACTGTAGAAGACCCAGGCTATGATTGTGAAAACTGTGTGCATTTTGACTACTGACTGACTGACTGAGTTTGGTTTTAGGCCGCTTTTAGCAATATTCCAGCAACATCACGGCGGGGGACACCAGAATTGGGCTTCACACATTGTGCCCATGTGGGGATTCGAACCCGGGTCTTCGGCGTGACGAGCCAACGCTTTAACCATTAGGCTACCCCACCGCCCCGCATTTTGACTAAGGCCATTGACACTTTGTATACACTTAAGAATAAAGTCAGTGCTAGTACAGTCCCACAAGTTGTACACGTCATGAGAGATGGCATTTCTGCAATCAAAATGGCCAGCTTTGCAAACTTTGACCTAAATACCCGTCCCCGGCATTTAATCAAGCCAGATATCCACACCAGCTATATGCCACTTTTCTAATCCACGATTCTGATTAATGCCAACCTCTTTGGGTGAGTGAGTGAGTTAAAATTTTACATCGCATCGGCAATATTACAGCCATATACCGATGAAAACAAGGTAATCATTTTAAAATATGTCGACAAAGGACAGTAAAACCAACTAGACTATCACAGATAGATTTATTTAAAACTAGTAATTAAATCTAAAATACTTTAACTATAGAGGACGACACAATATAAAAACAGACTATTGATCGCCAACAACTGAAGGTAGATCAACATACTAGGGACCAGGGGGGACTTACAGTACATTTGTTACCTGCATGGACCATAGTTGGATTTACACCATCCCTTCAGCCGCTGGCGATTGTAGGAAAAGTTTAGCCGAATTTTAAAAGAACAAAAATACTACGTTTACAAATCCGGTCAGCTTAAATTTAACTTTGAAAGTTTTGGGACTTACGTACCCTCTCATGGGGACAATAATTTTACGATACTTTAACCTCCTTTGAGGGTACAGCCACTAACAATCGCAGTTGCTAATTCATACTACCATGTTTAAAATGTTATTTATCTATTCTGAGTCAAAAAAAAGAAACTTCACATTCTTTCTAGAGGGCACTATAAAAGAACAAGAGATGGTAAGATGGTTAAATTGTTATTATTTCATTGCTGAGATCTGTGTGATGTACTCGATACACTGGCAGTGCCATAATCAGTTCCATTAGGCTACACCGCCGTTCCAAAACATGGGTATACAGAATGTCAAGTCACAAGAATAAAAATGCGAAATTTCTCAGTTCAATATCGTGTATGGCTGCCCCGCGCATTCACCACTGCCAAACACCGTCTCCTCATCGACTGCCTGATGCTTGTAAACACGTGGTTGGGGATTCTGCGCCATTGCTCTTGCAAGGCAGCGCCAAGTTTCTGCAAATTCTGAGGTTGGTTCCTAAGACCACGAAGCCTTCTCCCAAGTACATCCCAAACGTGCTCTATTGGATTAAGGTCAGGGGACCTCGATGGCCAGTCCATGACGTTGATTCCAGCGTTTTGAAGGAAATTTCGTGTCAACATCGCGGTATGCGGCCGAGCATTATCATGCTGGAACTGTAGACCTGGGCCATGAGCCGCCATGAAAGGAACGGGTTCAGGGGTGAGCACCTGGTCGCGGTAGGCAGCAGCTGTGAGATTCATCGCTAAAGACGACTCGATTCCAGTCTCTCTGGGTCCATCGGAGGTGACGTTGGGCCCACAGACGACGTTGACGTTGATGAAACGGCGTCAATATTGGCCAAAGATATGGGCGTCGAGAATGGAGATTGGCAGCCCGCAACCGATTTCGAATGGTCTGTGAGGACAGTCGACCTCTAAACATCTCAGCCCTGGTTCGTGTAGCCGGCAGAAATCTGTCACATAGGTGACGTAGGACGATTTGACGGTCTTCTGCTCGTGACGTCACACGTGGACGACCCGACCTTGGGCGATCAGAACTGGTGCCAGTTTGTTGTAGACGACCTCGCAAGTGATACACAGTACGACGGCTGCATCCCATTGCTCTTGCGACGTTGCACATTTGACAATCGTGGCATTTCAAGTACCGTTAGAACTGTGGTTTAAAAGTGTTTTTTCAATTCTTGAGGCCAATGCAAACACGTGCATATGCAGAAAACTTCGATGCGAAGATCACGTGATTGACTGTACGTGCAAAACCTGATTTGGTACTAACGTCATTTGCACGACGAATGGATGGGTTTGAGTGGGTTTTGCTAACGTATTTCTAGAGTCGAAAGATAGGGATCCCATTTCGGATACATAGATGTATCCACAGGGGCTTGTAACGCTAAAAACTGCCTTCAAAGCATATACTATCACTGACGGGGTCTTAGTACTTTTATATAGTACTAAGACCCCGTCAGTGATAGTATATGCTTTAATGGCAGTTTTTAGCGTTACAAGCCCCTGTGGATGTATCATCAGAGAAAAATTATTCATTATTTTTCAAATTACATTTTGTGAAGTTTCTTTTTTGACTCAGTATATTTACAAAACATATTATTCAAAATGTATCTAATAATTCTATTTCCTTTAAAACATAAATCATTAAATGAAAAAATATATAAATTAACATTATAAAAAAGATGCTTCAATGTTTTGACATTGAAATATTTATCCGTTGTGATGGAAAAATCAATACAGTCAAGCAGTACATGCTTGACCGTGATTCTTTCAGCACAAGAGATACAAAACGCAGGATCCTCACCTTTTAACAGGTATTCATGAGTATATCTAGTATGGGCAATACGTCATCGTCGCATGATGACCTCTTCAAACCTGGACTGACAACCAAAGTAGGTGTAACCAATATAGGGTTTTATTGCATGTTACTTGTTGATACCTACTTGGGCGTCCCACTTCTTCTGCATCAGATCACTGATGTAAGTTCAAATGCTAACTTTGTAATCAGAGTATGGAATAGGAAGTGGCGTCACAGATTTGTTGAGTGCTGCCTTAGCAGCAAAATCAGCCATTGTGTTCCCAGAAATACCAACATGGCTGGGTAACCAACAAAAGACGATGTCGTATTGGCCAGTAACAAGATCATTATATAATTCAATAATTCCAATTAAAAGAGGATGTTTGCAAGAAAGATTTTTAATAGCCTGCAGGCACGAAAGAGAATCTGAAAATATGATATATTGTTTATATTTAGGGTGTTTATTAATATATTTGAGCGCTGTTAATAGGGCGCTAGCTTCTGTGAAAATAGAGCTGTTATTTGGAAATCGTGAAGATGTTGTCCACCTCTTTGGTGGCGAAGCACCGAAACGCCTTGATGACATTGGGAAATCTTAACAAGACAGTGGCTAAGGCTCGTCCATACCAGAGTGGTGGTTTACGAGATTATTGTCCGGGTCGCGGTGCGTAAAGTACCAGGGGCAGAGGTCTTTTTGTGACCGTAAGATGTTACCCACGCTATCCCCAGAGTAGTGAATGTATGGGATCCTTTTTAAGCTTTTTGTAAGAATCGCCACCAGACGAAGAGGAAGAGCCCATAACTGTTTCATGGGGGCCACATGTGACTGTGAATATTCTCCCATCCTCTGTTTTCTTTGCTGGCAGGACCAGAGTTCAGTCCCTATTGCCCAAGAACATCGGAATATCTGTGGTTCATTTGGAAAGGTATTTTATATGAATTTACCTGTTTCCCCCAATGGCTTAGCTTGAGCACCCAAGAATTTCACACGGCTTTTGACACCAGTCTATGCCTCTCTCAGACAGCTTGGGTGTGCACTTGTTCCTTGTTTGGATGATTCTTACCTACAAAGGTATGGCACATAGAAAGCAGTTGCAAGATTTAGGATTTGTTATCAATTTGGACAAATCTCAGTTTAAACTAAGACAACAGTTGGATTTTGGGGATTTCTCTTGAATTTACAAACTGTGATTGTGGGACTTACTACGGAAGAAATTCAGAAAGTTAAAGCTTCATCTTTAGCTCTGATGGGAAAACACTACGCTCAGATTCAGGAAGTGGCCCAGCTCCTGGGGATTTTAGTTCGTAGCTTTATAGGTGTGTTACTCGGACCCCTCTACTATGGAACACTTAAAAATGACAAGATTGAGGTCCACTGTGGCAATTTTCAGGCCTTTATGAGAATTTCCACTTCGGTCAAAGCGGACTTAACCTGGTGGGTTAAAAAACATATCTCACATAGTTTCAAACCTGTGGCTCAGCCTGGGCCATTTGTAGCTATGTTCACGGGTGCTTCCCAGATTAATTTGGGAGCAGAGAGACAGGGAGGAGCAAGAACAAATGGGAGATGGTCCCATGCAGAAAGGGAAAAACACATCAATGAGTTTGAACTTTTAGCCGTATTCTTAGCTCTTCGGGCCTTTTGGTTCTGAATTATCCAACTGCCATGTCCGACTTCATGTTGACAATGCCACTGCCGTGGCTTACATCGATGCTATGGGGGGTACCAAGTCCAGAAATTGCAATTGCCTTGTAAAAAAAACTGGCCTGTGAGAGAAATATTTGGCAAATCACATTGCAGGTTCAAAAAATGTTGTTAATAAGGAGTCAAGATTATTTGATGACAAGACAGAGTGGATGCTTAATCAGTCTGTGTTTGAACAATTGTTACAGCTCTGGGGCAGCCCAGATATCAACCTTTTTGCTTCAATGCTGAATGCACAGCTTAGCTGTTACCTCTCTTGGAGGCCCGTTTACTGTGATGCTTTTAGCAACCATGGAACACCTCTTACAGTTATATGTTCCCTTCTTTCAGTGTCATCAGCCCAGGGGCGGATACAGCTTTTTGAGAAAGGGGGGGTGCACAATATTGTGAAAAGGAGGGGTGCACACTTCATTTTCACCCGAGTTTCAATGGTCATTTAACAAACTTTCAGCACAAAGGGGTGCGCACCCTGCAACCCCAACCCCACCCCCACCCCCTCTGGATCCGCCTATGCAGCCTGTGTCTTTAGAAGAGAGAGAGGGAGTAAGAGCACTGATAATAGTCCCGGACTGGCCGAGACAACATCGGTATGCCATATGGGGATGTTAATAGGCAACCCTCGTCTGTTGCCTCGTCGAATAGATCTGTTGACACTTCCACACAACTTAAAACGCCATCCTCTCCGGGGGAAATGACACTGCCGGCTTGCTTCTTGTCCGGCAAGAAATGGAGATCAGAGAAATTCCGGATGACGTCCGCCCCATCATCCTTCCCTTGTGGCGGAGGTCCACTCAAAAACAGTATCAAGTCTTCCTTCAGGAGTGGGAGGTGTGCTGTGGTAAAAGGAAAGTTAATCCCCTTTGTTCCTCTGTGAATACTTTGTTGGAGATTTTAACTGAACGGGATATGGGTATAACTCTCTTTACACCTAGGCCAGCAGTTTCGTCTGTCCTAGCTTTGAAAAGTGACATTAACTTTGGAAACCACCCTCTGATTACACGCTTTATGCATGGAGTCAAGTGTTTGGGATGTATCGGTGGTGTTGCAATACATAGACGGTATAGGAGACACGCCAGCTCTGTCACTGAGAGATTTGACATCAAAGTGACTACAGCTCAACGACTGCAATCACTTAAGCTGTAAGACATCTACCTTGTGGAGAAATCTAGTACTCAGATAGTCTATAGATTAGACAAATTAAGCAGTTTCACCCTGCTAAGAACAACTTGTTTGTTGAAATTGCTGTTTACCCTAGGAATGTTAGACGGTCTGTTTTTACAATATTGTGCTTGTATCTTGATGCCACTTCAACCCTGAGGGAGGACACAACTCAACTCTCGATTACTTACCAGTCCCCACATAAACAACTATCCACCGATACCATTGGTAGATGGATTAAGACCGTGATGCTACAGTCTGAGGTGGATGCAGACTTTTGGTGCCCACAGTACTAGAGCACCGTCTACCTCTGCTGCCCAATCTTCTCATGTGTCAGTTACTGACATTTTAAAGACAGCAGGCTGGTCCTCAGCTCAAACTTTTGCCACTCATTATAGTTTGCCAGTACTTCATGACAGTCCCTTCTCGACCAAGGTCCTGGACCAATACCAAGATTAGTTGCCTCGATATTACCTCATTCCAAATAATGTGTCTGCAAGTGTTGAATCCCAGTGCATAATGTTTCTGGTCATAATACAGGTGAATCTGCAGATGTAAGCCTGCTTAAACGTCTCAGGAAAGTTCTGATTGCATTAAAATAAACATAGTTATAGTGTCCTTCAATTGAGTTGCTTCCTTTAATAACTTTGAATTCTCAAGTGAACCGGAAGCATTCGTGACGTAACAGAATACATCAATTAAACGAGTGAGTGAGATTAGTTTAACGCGCACTAAGTAATATTCCAGCTATATGGCGTCGGTCTGTAAATAATCGAGTCTAGACCTCAATTAAACGAGACATACCTGGAAGTTGAAGTTTGACTGTAGTTCTGCTACGTCACTGGAATGCTGGAGGTTTACTTGCCCTCCGCTCCCTCCCATACATGCACTGAGCATATTTCTGTCTTATGTGATAATGGCACAGATGTTTCAAAGACTGCCCCGCTCTGCGCGATCTCAAGAACACTTCCAGCATCTCAGTGACGTAGCATTCCAGGTAAGTCTCGTTTAATTCATTTATTAAATGGGTTACCGGCCTAAAATTATGTAAATTTATGTTCTTAAAAATATGACAGTTACATGTATGTACAGGGTAATTATCTGGGAGTTATCGATGTCAACTTTTCAGTTCAAAATCCACTGGAAATTTTATTTGTTTTAAATCCCAAGAAACTACGAGGGGTAAGCGGCCACTAGAATCTGAATAGGATTTCTGAAGGTGGTGTTCTCGGCCACGATGCAGGGTCATGTCTTGACCGTATAGGACCGCATCGCGGCTCTGGGCTATGTTGGACTGTGTAAAGAGCTCTCGACCGGAAGTTGACTGCATCAGGGTGTCATTATGAGTCTGGTGAGCTTCACGAATGGGATCCGTGCTGGTTACAAGGGATACTGATTCTCTACAACGCCCGATCTCTGACAGTGGTGTGTGTGTGTGTGTGTGAGAGAGAGCGAGAGAGCGAGATGTTGACATGTACACACTGTACCCTTTCTGTTGATTCTATCGTTGTAGGTGTTTCTTTTAATTTATCAATAGAAAAAATAACGGTATTGCATAATTGTTCCATAAGACCTTTTCAACAATCTGCGCCTAGTTTTGGTTGGATGATTGTAATTGGCAAACGCTGATGTGAAGTAAAGCTGGTCAGATTCCAACATGAAAGCAAACATTTAAAAAGTAGTCCCGGTCGTAGTATAATATCTGGGTTGGTTAGACTACGAACTGAAACTAAACAGTCATGGTTTTAATGGAACAATAAAAAAAATAACAGCAATGCATACTGCAGAATGTATTTATTCACAGAACATACACAAAGTTTCATTTTGCGACCGTAACGTTGACAGATGTTGATACCATCGGTACTGGTCTTTTGTAAAGCTCTAGATTTCTCGCATGAACTGGATGACATGGATGCCGTTTCACTTCGTCGCTTTCTTGGTTTCCCTTGCACTATCCTGCTCATAGTCGCCTCTTGTTCAGTACAGACACGCTTGTAGTTGCGAATGGCGTTACTCCTGTGACCGGTTGTTTTAGCAATCAACTGCTCATCTACACCTGAGCGAAACAGCCGCGTCGCACACGTTGCTCTCAACGAATGATTTGTGTAGAAACCTGAAAAGACAAATGTTAACCCAATCAAAACAAGTCAAGAGATGAATTGATGCTATATTTATGTAAAACACGCTTAGTCATTTACATCTAACTAAATTACTGGTAAAGAAACACCTGGTTCAAGTAAGGAATGTATTATAAATAAATGTTCTCATTTGACACTGTAAAGTTGGTAATATATTTTGAGTAATGCAGTTTTTTAGATAAATGAATTTGAAAATCTTACCACTGAATCCGGCAGCAGCGCACAATCTGGACACCGTTTTACTCAGTGTATGTTCTCCTACTGGCGACACTGAATACCATCGATCAGGCCTGGGTTTACTAAGTGGACGTAAGTATAAAGCTGTAGGAGCATCAGCAGGACGAAGACCGAGGTACTTCGGGTACAGGTGGACGATGCATTTATCAGATACATCACTAGCATACGCAGTAACACTTTTGGGTGCAACATGGTAGTCCTTCAAACCACGTTGACTGCATTTACTGACCATTTCATGGTAGCGTATGAACTCACCCTGGTCATTTTCTCCAATTTCAATTTGATCAACTGTGAAGATTCTGTGTTCAACGCCACTGCGTAAAGCAAAGTTGAGGCCAATTAAGTATAGCATGGTATCAAGCAGCGTCTGAGGAGATGAATCGCCAAGAATACCTTTATCCCAAAGTACTTGCTCCTGATTTAAAGTAATCACATCTGCCTGTCTTGGATGCATTCCAAGGCCTTCGCTTGCCCTCACTTTCATGACATTGTCCAGTGTCGTTTGTAGTTCTGTGTAAACCGGGTCTGATAAGAACTGCACATTTCTACCCAAATTCACCAACTTCATTTGGATAAGCAAAACCAACTGTCGTAAAGTTTTTTGGGGATAGTTTTCGCCGTTCTCCTTTCTCACTTCCATAATAAATCTACACAGACAATAATTAAGTTCGTCATCATTCAGATCCTTTAGATCATGCGGAATCAAACTAAGTCGATTCCCGGATGTATCACTATTTAGTATCCTTCCATTCCTCGAAATTCGCCAAGATTCAAACAGACGACATGCCCATTCTATAGACTTGTGTTTTCTGTGGCACTATCTTCTTGCTCATTTCCGTAACTTCCCGATCAGATAAGGGTTCACCGAAGCGTGTATTAGTTGATGTCCTTGCATATTGCCTTTCCATCTCTTGTGAAACTGCATATATCATGTCATCATCGCTCGAAGACAAAACAAGAAATTCACTTTTCTGTTTTTTAAACAACTCACTCTCAATCTGTTGAGAAGCTACATACATGGCATCATCTTCACTTGACGGTATGTCACAATGTTTATCCGCAGTCTGCCTATTCCCGGCAACGCCGTCGTCGTTGTCGCTAATATCACTGTACTGAGTAGCATAATTTGTCGGATAAATTTCATTACAATGAACATTTGAGCTCAAATATATTTGTGAGCACGGAATAAATCTTCTTCAGACATTCTGGACCCATTTGTTGCTGACACTGGCAATGGCGGTGAATGTGAGAGCATGTTTCTTGATGAACGTTTGCGCATGCGGGAAAATCATTCATTAATAACTCTCGTACAGGGCAAACTAACATTCAATCATTCGCCTCTAACCGAGAATAATATATCAAATAGTACAATTACTCTGCGCATTCAGGGCACATTACATTGTCAAACAGCCCTTATCGTGTTCAGATATATCAGATGGCACGTGCTGTAAGTGATATGTGAATGCACGTGCAAAACGAAATTTTCATGGACCTTAAGTGTGAAAATAAAACTTTTACTACGCGAAAGCGCAACTAATTATAGTGCATTGAATTTATCATTGTTTTGATAATGTTTAGTGTACATGTAGCTATTTAATTATGTGTCATGGTTTAAGTCGGTTAGACCACTCGGACCGCCAGGTCCTCGTGATCTAACCTATATTCAGTTACCATCTGTGTTCCATAACACCTGGCTCGCGCGCCCAGTACAAAACCAATCTCACCCACACACAACAAACACATGATAAATAATGAATGTTTTTATTGAATTACAAATCATGTACACGGTGATATTACTAATAATTCTAGGAAACCTGTTCTCGCTTGGTTGGTAGTAATAACAATACCTTCTGACACAGTCCTGTCAGGCGATCTGGAAAACACAAATGGATACATGTTAGCTTGACATCTGGAACACAGACAAAACAACCGGGTTTCTAACGTCCCTTCTTACTTATAGTCTGTTTGCAGTGAAAAGGTACCGATGAATTTCACTTTAAACCAAAAAATAAATCGAATAAAGTTAAATTAAGATTGCGAATCCTCATAATTTTACCTTGCCAATTGAAAATTTAAATCTCAGAAATTTATTCAACTTAAGATAAAAGTTGTTTAACAAACGATCATGGTTTCATATCGCTATTATTGGTTTGTATTACAGGGGGTATGCCCATTAAATGAAACACCGAGAACAGGTAGGGCTGGTCTAAGTTAATGCTCATTACGTCCCGCCCGTGCATTTTTTGGACTGTTCCAACTACTGCGCTTATCCCCTTGTAATATTTTCGTCAACGTAGCCTTGCTCCAAGGCTGCACATGGATGTATAGTAATTCTATCTTTAAAGAGGCTAGTCCAGATCAGCGAACAGTATCTAAGGACGTCAGTCTGTTATTCACATGTTTTTCATTCTTATCATTTAAACTATTAATTCAGAGACTTGTGCAACGATGAATGTTTACAAAAAAGCAAAATGAAATGAAATGACTTTTGCAGTCTCAGATTTGAATCCCGATATGTGTAAAATATATCAAGGCCTTGTGTGCCCCGTCGCAAAACTACTGGGTAGCCTAACGTTCATTTCCTTACAATACATGTGGACTTGGTCAATACGCCAATGGAATCTGTACTCACCCTAAGTAACGCTTAGCATCTTAATCTATATAATTTTGATTGTAACACATAAACCCATTTAAATTTAATAGTAGCCCCAGGAGAACAGGGCCCCGTTCCTCATAGCGATCGTAGCGCTACGACAGCCGTAACTCCCTATGTTAAAGTATAGAGTTACGACTGTCGTAGCGCTACGATCGCTTTGAGGAACGGGGCCCTGGACTCTAGCTTTGCAGGGAAGGCTAGGGAACATAGTATGGTTCAGGGACTGTGAGACCAGACTATACTCACCCATAAAACTGAAGTGTATCCCCATGTACACAAACGGAACGAAGATGAAGCCACCGCTGACAATAAAGATGATAGCGTAGAGGAATTGGATGCCAGGATTCTGTAGAACCGGGGCGAGCACCAAGTAGCAGGAGGCTAGAAACACTATCACGGGTACAAATATGGGCACCTGAAATACAAGACAAAAAATATTTTATTTATATTTTATTTATCACTGTAAATAAATCATTAACGTCCTAATGTGCACACTATGTCAGCTCTATGGAATTTCACGTTAGAACTGTCTCCGGTACAAAATGACTATCGTACGTTTGTTTGTTTGTTTTAGGCCGCACTCAGCAACATTCCAGCAATGTGGCGGCAGTCTGTAAATAGTCGAGTCTGGACCAGACAATCCAGTGATCTACAGCATGAGCATCGATCTACGCAACTGGGACATGATGACATGGTCAACCAACCTGTGGCGCGTAGATGGTATTGCTGTAGCTCTAGATGTCGCCATGTTGAATCTATCACGTAAGTGACGAACTCGTATTAACCTGTCCTGCAGTGTTACACGTGGTCGAAGAGATCTGGGTAGGTCACGTGTGATAACGGTTCCATGGTCTTGAAAAGGTGTTTGGCGATTCATGAAAAAATATGGCGATGTCTAAATCGAGTAGCCTGTCTCCAGTCGGCCTATGGTGTTGTTACGTTGAGCATCTGTTAGTCGTGACATGTTTACTGTTCAATTGTAACTCAGCAATAGTCCAGCTATATGGCGGCGGTCTGTAAATAATCGAGTCTGGACCAGACAATCCAGTGATCAACAGCATGAGCATCGATCTGCGCAATTGGGATAGGATGTCAATTGTCAACCAAGTCAGCAAGCCTGACCACCCGATCCCGTTAGTCGTCTCTTACGACAAGCATGAGCGCTGTTCAAAGACCAATTGTAACCCGGATCTTCACCGTATCGTGCGATGAAAGTAAGATGAGGAGGGAGATGAAGTAGTGTTTTGTATCGACTGTCGATGTGTGACCACCAGAAGCGACCAACTCAGATCCATGACATCCCTGCCAATATCACCCCCATTTCATGTGATCACATCCCAGTATGATTCGCATGCCCGTTCGCCTCTCCCAGATGAAGCCATCACCAGCAATATGGTCGTCATCCATATGATCACCACCAATATCACCCCCACCAATGTGAGATCAACAAATACGAGGCTCACTCATGGTATCACAACCAAAGTCAGAATCAAGATAACCTCGGTTTGAAACTGTTTGTTTCCTGGGATAATCATTATGTATTTATTTGGCTTCTTGGAACATTTTCAGCACATTAGAAGGAACAGGTAAATGACGACGAAAGCTTCATGACTCCACATTGTCAGTTATTTTCTCGTTACTTCGATTGTATTTTCTTAATTTTGATTATTTACTCTATTTTAAGTGTATTTAAAATATATAATCTTGGAATTACGACTACTTTAGTTGCTTCGATTATTTTCTTGCTAATTCATATTTTTGTGGAAATTTCTATTCTTTATCGTTGTTTGATTATGTTTATTTCAACATTTCTTCGCTAGTTCGAGTTTATTTTAAAAATACTTAAATTTCAAGATAATAATCGAAATATATTGGCCAATTCAGCGACAGTTACTGTCGAGAACGTAGGGTGTAACTGCTATTCTGCCCTGAATGTTCCATCGTGACGGACGCATTAGTCGCCTACCCTGTAGGGTCTGTGTAGATCCTTCTCCTTGAACCTGAGGACTATGAGGGAGAAAGACGTGACGCCGTACACCAACCAGGAGGCGAAGCTGAAGCAGTCGATGAGGGTGGAGATGTCTCCGGGGATGAGGAGCAGAATAGATATCGTCAGCTGGAAAACACATAGTTAAATAATTATGCATGAGTGAGTATGGTTTTAAGCCACTCTTGGCAATACTTTAGCAATATCACAAAAAACCTTCACACAATACTGGGACGCCCGTGATCCATCACTATAGACAGCAAACTTGTTCATACTCAGAGAGATCCACACTATATAAATTACTGAGTGAGTTAGTACCAGTATATGGTACCATTATACGATAAGTTCATTCTCTGCCTGTACTCACAGTAAACAACATGGCGGGGATCGGCGTGCGTCGTTTATGATGAATAAATGACAGCATCTTGGGGAAATGGCTATCTCGACCCGCTACATAACACAATCTGGAAAAGAGGAAACGCATTCTGGAAATAGGATAGGGTGAACACAATCTTGAAATTGGGTGAACACAGTTTGGAAACAGGGTGAACTTTGATCTGGAAAATGAACTAATTGCTAAAATGGACGGCCTACATGGGTACCATATTACACCAGTGCTATCAGCAACTGTCAGGCCCTATCACCTGGCGGAGAACGTGACTGGCGTGTGGGGAATCAAGTCCTCGGCATGACAGAAGAACGTTTTATTCACGATATGTTTAAATAGTCTCCTTGAGCGTCATCCTCGATAATCTCCAGGGTATACGTTACGATCACTCTCCACTATACCCTGGATGCATCCACGGCTTGGCCGGATAATTATATTACCTCCCTTTGCTGGCTCCGCATTCTCACAGTAGCCAATCAGCTAAGCCGCCGTTACATCCGAGCTTGCCAGTGTCAACAGAGATAGCGGTCGCAGTCGCGAAAGTTTGTTCGCAGTGCGACTCAGATTTGGGGGGCAAGCATACAGACAAATTGACACGTCTGAAATCTTTAAAAAATATATGCAAGAACTCCTTCTACCTTTTTCAGAGTATCTGCAACAATATATTATTATGTTGCCAAGTTTAATCAGTTAGATGATTTAAAGAGCGAAAGTGAGTTGTGATTGGTACGCTCAACTTCCCAGCGTAGACACCTGACTGGATAGAAAGCCAGCAAAGGGAGGTAATAAAATCATCGGGCCAAGCCGTGGATGCTTCCAGAGTATAATGGAAAGTGATCGTAACGTATACCCTGGAGATTATCGAGGATGCTTGAGCGTATGCTTCCAAGAAAATGTGTTCGTTTACAATCAAGTCTAAGTGAGTCAGGCCTACCGAGGTCATCTGCTTCATGACTTTACCAGTGTTGTGTTTTGGTGTTTGATTTCTTTGGAAATGTTCTTTTCCAAATAAACCACTTACCTTCATAGCTAGATACTGGTGTATGTTCCTGTAGCTTCAACGAAAAGCAAAATATCCCCTACTTTTGAATGTATATGTGTATGTTGAATACAGTCCTCACCTTCCTGACGAAAAAAGACAGCCGTTGACGGAGCCGAATGTCGACATGGCCACGAACATCGGGATACACCAGGACATGACGCCCAAGACGCGGTCGCCCCAGGTCTGTCAACCAGATGAGAGAATGAAGGAAACTCATGAATGTTTGAACGTCATTGCGCGAAATAATTAAGTTAGATCGAGATATGTGTGTGTGCGTGCGTTCGTGTATGTTTGTGTGTGTATGTGTGTATGTATGTATGTATGTATGTATGTATGTATGTATGTATGTATGTATGTATGTATGTATGTATGTATGTATGTATGTATGTATGAATGAATGAATTTATGTGTGTGTGCGTGTATTTGTGTGGGGGTTTGTGTGTGTGTGTGTGTGTGTGTGTGTGTGTGTGTGTGTGTGTACTTATTTGTATGCGTGTGTGTACATTCCTGTAAACAATCCACGATGACTTACTTGTAGGTATAACATCAATTTAACATCCTAGTAGAGGAAATGGCCACTATATTTCATATGAATCATTGTTTTGTCAGTTTCCATTGAATGAATTACACAGAACGTGTTCTGTATATCCATCAACTCACCACGGCGACCGCGTGTGACAGGATTATCTCCTCCTTGGACATGACGCTGAAGTAGCCGATGTTGGCGAGGACGTAGCAGACTGTCGTCAGTGGGATGCCCACCATAATAGCAATAGGGAGATTCCTGCAGGGGAAATACATTTCTTCAGGAACCAAAAACCTTAAAGATGACGTAGCTGTAACATTGTGATCTCTAAACGTAGCCACCACAGACATGAAGTTTGATTCAGTTATACACTAGCGGCCACCTGTTCCTCTTTTGAAGCAGCGGGTGAGTATGGTTTTACGCCGCTTTTTAGCAATATTCCAGCCGGGGACACCAGACATGGGCTTCAAACGCTGTACCCATGTGGTGAATCGAACCCAGGCCTTCGGCGTGATGAGCGAACACTGTAGCTACTTGGCTACCACACCGCCCCGGTTAGTGAATGATCATGATTTCAGGAATATAAGGTCTTGGGCACACCACAAATGACTCCAAGTTTTGACCCGTCAATCGACCCAGTTTCAACTGCATTCCCTTTTTGATACAACTGATATTACCTAAATGTGAATGTGTTTTTCGCCAACTCAGGCGGCAAGGGAAAAGGCCCTGGTGTCGGTCCTTTGAAGATGAAGAGGTCGTCTACTATCTGGTGCATTAACTGTTTGCGTTTCTTTGTCGTCCATGGCCCAAGCGGGGCGGTGGGGTAGCCTAATGGTAAAAGCGTTTGCTCGTCACGCCGAAGACCCGGGTTCGAATCCCCACATGGGTACAAAGTGTGAAGCCCATTTCTGGTGTCCCCCGCCGTGATGTTGCTGGAATATTGCTAAAAGCGTCGTAAAACCAATCTCAGTCAGTCATGGCCCAAGCCTAACACAAATATCCACTCCCAAGATTGACGATACCAATTTATAAAGGATTTAATTTCCTTGACGGATTGTTATTTTCAGTTTATTGTTTTGGTTGCATGTTACAAGCTCATCGCGTAACGTAGTTATACTGAGGTTTATCATAAGCCCACAACGTAACAATTCTGTTACCGAAGTTCTTTACACCGTTCTTATCCCAACATCAGGATTTCACGATCTGTGCAGATCAACTCTGTACATCTTTAAACCGAAGAGTATTATAATCATGCAGTACTCATAATCGTGCAAGACCGCCTCCGTGGTGTAGTGGTTAGAGCGTCCGCCCGGAGAGCGGAAGGTCGCGGGTTCGATCCCCGACCGCGTCATACCAAAAGATGTTAAAATATGGTACTTGTTGGTGCCTGCCTGGCGCTCGGCATTAATGGGTACAACAAGGACTAGTCGGCTCGGAGTCAGTATAATGTGTCTGAGTAGGGTATTCATGCTTCACTGCAGCATGGTATCTCAGTAAGCTAGCACTATAAAACCAGCTTCAGTCTGGGCTAGTACAAGCAGCCGCACATACACATACACACGCATGCACGTCGTCATATGAGCGAAATATTCTCAAGTACGACGTTAAACCCAATTTCACCTCACCTAACCTCACAATCGTGAAGAATCTGGGATCCTCGGATCGTGGAGTCCCGTGATGCAACTCTGCACTGCCTGCGTAGAAACTTTGAAATATGGTGCCACATGTTTCCCTCACGAGAGAGAGTATGGTTTTACGCCGCTTTTAGCAATATTCGTGCAATATCACGGGGGACACCAGAAATGGGCTTCCCACATTGTGCCCATGTGGGCAATCGAACCCGGGTCTTCAGCGTGATGAGCGGACGCTTTAACCACTAGGCTACCCCACCGCCCCTCCCTCTTGAGAAACCTTATATTTAACACTACATAATACACTCACCTGCTTGGGTTCTTCAGCTCCTCTGTCACAAAATTTAAACTATTCCTGAAAAAGTGCAAGTCTTTTATTAGTCGGCTAATAACATATTCAGATCTATTGGCTTGTAACAGTTTTGGCTTAAACGTAACGATGGAATTAAATATTAACATGCTAATCGCAATTTGGGAATAAAACAAACTTATATTTGGGTGAAACTTTACTTGCTTACATGTACGTAAAATGTTAACTTGGTAGTTTATTTGGCTAGAACTACTTAATGGAAATGTATCCTTACCAACCATCGAATGCCCATAAGCCGTTATAGAAGGCAAATATGACAGTTGATGGATTCTGCGAAGTTCCTTCAAATCCCTCAGATATATACTCAATGTTACCTGTCAAGACCAAACACATGAATATATATGATATCATCAAACATATCCAAGGCAGCATTTGAAAACATTAGTTGAGTTGGTCAGGAGCAAACGGCTGAGAGGCGGGTCAAGAGTATGGGCCCACGTCTAAGAGTTGTTGTTGTACCTCTATGACGATTCAAAGAGTATTTGTTGATGTCTCACAGAACGGAGTAAAGAGCACATGTCGACGTCTCAGAGGCCGGTGTAAAGGGTAGGTGTCGACATCCGACAGAACGGTGTAAAGAGTGAAGAGTTTGTCAACGATGTAGTTAACTAAATTCACTCTCACTCACTATAACATATCTGTAGAATACGTCTCCATACAATAACAAGACATACTGACCTTCAGCTATCTTGTATATGCCTCCGATAGTGATGATGGCTATAGCTAACAGTTTGAGGACAGTCATGGTATTCTGGATTATTGTGGCGAGTCGGACGCTGACGCAGTTGCAGAATGTGATCAACACTGAAACAGGAAATCCGAAATGACAATCTGGATCTGGATTGTTACTTTATAACCGCACTGGTAATAGAATACTACTTGAATTTCAATGTAATGACACCGGAAACCATTTAGATAGTAACCGGAATGTATCTGGAACGTGAAAAGGATATGGGAAATCACCGCATGGTTGCGACTGTTGACTTGAGTAAAGTTTGTCTGTGGTAGAGTAGTGGACTAAGTAGCATTAAGACAGTTTTGTGATCGATATTTGATGGAGATTCGTAACACATGCTCATTACACAATCGGGATCACACAATCGACGTTTAGCAGCGACTTCTGATATTTATGTATTTTGTAGCTTCTATTTCGTCAAACAAGGCAGAGAACGCGAGTGTATCCAGAATGAAATATTCGCTATGTCATGGAAATGTGACTATAGGCAATAGGAATATAGCTCTGCAGTTATCATAATTGTTCATTACTTACACTTAGGAAATGATCTCTAGGCAACTTAACAAGTGCAAACTAAAGTTGAAGCTTAAGTGCCGTATTGACATATATTTTTCTGAAAGTTGATTCTGATTTTTTTTCTTGCATTCAGCAGCCTTATTCCCCACTTTTAAATGAAAGAATCCAATCGTGCATGGGAGTTCAATCATTCATTATTCAATCATTTATCACATTCATCAACGACTGCCTCCGTGGTGTAGTGGTTAGAGCGTCCGCCCGGAGTGCGGAAGATCGCAGGTTCGATCCCCGACCGCGTCATACTAAAAGATGTTAAAATATGGTACTTGTTGGTCCCTGCCTGGCGCTCGGCATTAATGGGTACAACAAGGACTGGTCGGCTCGGAGTCAGTATAATGTGTCTGAGTAGGGTATTCATGCTTCACTGCGGCATGGTATCTCAGTGGGCTAGCACTATAAAACCAGCTTCAGTCTGGGCTAGTACAAGCAGCCGCACATACACATACACACGCATGCACGTCGTCATATGAGCGAAATATTCTCAAGCACGACGTTAAACCCAATTCCACCACCACCACATTCATCAACGAGCACGGTGACAGCCCAAGGTAACCTATTCCGGCCCGACTAAATATAGCATGTGCATGAATGACCTAGTGTTGAATTACACTAAAGTCAAGCTATAAAAACTGAATGTTTTAAATGCGCATATACATTTTACATTTATACGTTATTATTCATTAATATGACGGGACAGTGGGGTAGGTCAGTGCTTAAAGCGTTTGCTCGTCACGCGAAAGGCCCGGGTTCGATTCACCACAAGGCGACAATGTGTGAAGCCCATTTCTGTTGTGCCCCGCCGTGATATTGCTGGAATATTGCTAAAAGCGGCGTAAAACCATACTCACTCACTATAATCGTAAGAGTCCATTATGTTTCCGACTATATTTTAAGCATGTGTTTACGAATCACAATAACTTGATGATGCAGGGATAAGATGAGCGTATAAAAAACTCAAAATACGTTTTGTTCTTACGCATTCCGAGAGCAGTCACCAACTTGACGACGGAAGTCGGGGGATCACATCCGGGGTAGAGAGGCTTGACAATGTACGTCCCCATAGCGAGGCTGATGACAGCTACCATTGTTGGGCGAATAATAAACAGACCAGTCCAGTCAAACAAAAACGCCGGAAGTCTCCCAATTTTGCTTTTATCACCCTTGTACGTATACATTAAGTACGCATGCTCCCCACCAGATCGAGGCACAGCTGTTCCCAGTTCGGCGTAGACTAAGGCACCTGAAAGAAGATTTCAATGTTTAGTTGCCTGGGACCCTATCCACAACACGTTCGAAGCACTATGAATTCGTAAGCCCAGGTTAGAGTTACGATAACCTTACGAACGCATTGTGGATCGAGACTCTGAATTCTTATTCCGCTTTCGTTTTATACTGATAATATTTTCGTAGTTTCTGACATGATTTCTGCAGAGTTGGAATAGGAACAGGGGTAGTGTTGGCTCACTCCCTTTGAGCTGCGTCCCTTTGAACAAGTCAGGAACCTATGATCGTGGGATCCAAACCCGTTTTTGTCACGATTATTTGACTATCTTTGTCAGCGCCGTAAGCCAGCTCGTGGGCTTCACCATTGTGGTAAACGTCTCAGCCTTTCATCACCTCCGGTTTAAGCTTTACACGCAGTGAACTTACGTCATTCAATTACTAGAATATTACCACATTACGCTGTTGTTAAAAAGTGAGATGGATCAGGTTCAGGCTTGGTGCTATTTGTTTGTTTTGTTTAGGAGTATTTTTTTTTGCTTCTCTGTTTGTCTCCGCACTTGGCAATATTTCACGTTTATTACGACAGTTTGTAATTAATACATCCTGGCCAAACAAACCCAGGTACAATGATTCGCAATAAACTAAGTCACAAAACCGATTCAAATTCATCCCTTCGTGCGGATTATTACATGTTTGACCGCCTCCGTGGTTTAGTGGAAAGAGCGGTTTTCCTGGAGAGTGGAAATCAGTGGATCGTCCTCGGCTGTCACACCAAATGACGTTAAACGATGGTAGTTGTTGTTACTCTGCCTGGCAGTCGGCGTTACGGGGAATTGGATTTCGTGTACGCTCTGAGGGGGTGTGTATGTTAAAACATGGCTTGGTATGACAGTGGGGCAGCATTACATGTATAAAACCGACATTCATATTACTTGAGAGACATGCGCGCTTGCACACGCACGCACATGCATGTACACACACATCACATGTTTGTTTGCTTGTTGTTTAACGCTGCACTCAGCAATATTCCAGCTATATGGCGGCGGTCTGTAAATAATCGAGTCCGGACCAGATAATCCAGTGATCAACAGTATGAGCATCAATCTACGCAAATGGGATAGGATGACATGTGTCAACCCAGTCAGCGAGTCTGACCACCCGATCCCGTTAGTCACCTCTTACGACAAGCATGGGTTGCTGAAGACCAATTCTAACCCGGATCTTCACGGGTAACACACACACTCAATAATCTCAAAAGGAACGTTACACCCCGTTCCATCTCACTCTCCGTGTATCTTAAAGAGATACAGCCGTATTTACCTAAATAAGGCGCGACTGTTCATTGTTAGGTCAGGTATCCTTATCTCCCAAATCTCAAAAACAAATATTGAAAAGTATTTAGAACAGAAAGGAACGCATTCTTTCGCTGAGGGTATTTCTGGGTCTCGTCGAACTGTAACAGTATCCATCCATTCATTCATATTTTGGCATTGTGAAATATTAGACCCACTTTTGGAAGCCTTGATTTGCAAGGCATAGGCTGGACTAACTCTAAGTATCTGAATTATCATTTTGACAGTATCAAATAAACCCATTTGAAGTAAAAAGGAGGGCCCCATTCAGATGGAAATTCAGAACCCGAGGGAATCTATACATGCTTTATTTAGGGCTTAAGCATTGCAGGGAGGGCAAGGCAATAGTAGGCAGTCGGGAAAATAATGTTATTCAAGGACTGTGAGACAGACTAGGTTAAAAGGCTAAGACACTGATATCGACTGAGGGTATTTTGCAGTCCACTCAAATATATCTAACTGTATATCTGTGTACTTTTTTTTAAACTACTCTCTCTCTCTCTCTCTCTCTCTCTCTCTCTCTCTCTCTCTCTCTCTCTCTCTCTCTCTCTCTCATAGTAGTACCCATAGTAGCCAGTACTCCACACAGCGTCCAGATGACAAGGCTGAGCCCCACAGATCCGCATCCCTCCAAGACACCTTTAGGGCTGATGAAGATGCCAGAGCCTGTGAAAGAGTTTCATCAGTTCAATTTACAAAGTGTTTCAGAGACAAAGATTAAAGACAACATACAACCGACGACGGTTGTATCAAGGACCGACGGTCAGCTCAGGGACACACAACAGAACCAGACTCAGCCACGACACTGCTTCAGTATTTTCATTGCTTCAGGAGCTCGGTGTTCTAGACCGTGCTTACCTAAGTCCAAGAAAGATATCTTCAATATAGATTGAATCCAAATTCAGTGTTTCAGCAACTGAAATCATATTTGTTTTCTCACGGTACTAATCTCAGTAGAGAGACACCAGGTGTCATGGCTGATTTTCAGTGATCCATTCCTATAATTTTTCTTGACCTTTTTCCTATTATTTTATCATTTCCCTGAGGAAATTCAACACTGGGAACGTTTTCGCACTGACGTTAGATATATACTTTAAGTTGTTTGTATCCATTAAAAAGCAGATCGGGCGGCCCTTATCGAGTCTTTTACCTATCATGGTGCCAACAATGAGCCCAATCCCTGACAAGAGTCCAAGGTTTCTCTCCATCTCCATTTTCGGGGCATCGTCTGCCTCTTTGTCGTTAGCCATGACTACCTCAGTTGTCCCTTTGGTTTAGTTTTTAAACTTCAAAATGACGTCCATAAATCTGAAACAAAATATAATAATGTGTAAATATATTCTAAAATAGTTAGGATTATCAGTGTCTGTTGCACAGAAATGAAATATAAGGACGTCATTTTCCCTCAAATGTATTATTTACATAATAACAGGTAATGAAATAACATTAAATAATAATATGTAACATGTTGCAATAAATTGTAATATTGACCTCCTGGTAGAACAGGGGAGGTGTGGTAGCCTAGTGGTTAAAGCGTTTGCTCGTCACGCCGAAGACCGGGTTCGATTCCCCACATGGGTACAATGTGTGAAGCGCATTTCTGGTGTCTCCCGACGTGATATTGCTGGAATATTGCTAAAAGCGGCGTAAAACTAAACTCACTCACTATATCGTAAGAGTCCATCATGATTCCGACTATATTCCGTCACGGAGACGCACCCCTCTGATTAGTTGAAATTTCGTCCGCGGGAGAGTATTGTGCACTGTTGTCCAAAAAGGTCGATTAAGCTAATTAAAGGTCGAACTGAGTAGTTTTAATCACGGGGTTTCATTTATAACAATGCCAATAAATGATTTATATATTTGTACCCCCTAGAGTATCTGTGATCTTTAAGCATGTGTTTACGAATCACAATAACTTGATGATGCAGGTAAAAAATGAGCGTATAAAAAACTCAAAATACCTTTGTTCACTCACTCATGAAGGATCTATGTGGCTATTGTAAACACGTGTAAACAAGACAAACAGTCAGGATAGGACGATGTGAAGACACCAGGCATTAAGATTGTTATGTCATTTGAAGTATGCAATAAACCCTTTCAACTTACATCGTAATGACATGTATATGGTTATTAACTGGATGGCCTCGGCTGATTTAGTTATTATGCAAATCATTGCGACCTTACTGCACCAGTGCATTATACACTAGGTGAACAACAATCATCAGAGATGGGGATGGGCGTTGAGGTGGGGCTGTGTTTGACAGGTTATTTGGGGATAAAATCTGAAAAGCTGACACGGTGGATTCTAACTGTTTAAGGTACAAACAATAATTTTCAAAGGGGTTCCACCTCCCTGCCTCAAATGGGCGCTGACTTTAGTCTCGGTTAACATGAAGGTTTTCAGTACCTACTTTTAAACTCAGTTCCCCTGGGATCCATGCACCACTGATGTCGATGCCACTGGAATGTGGGGTACCTACTTTGTGTGTGGACTGCTACTGGACTAAATGATATCAGTAAGGTAGATAGTGTTGATCATTGTTTTCACATAGGCCGTGTAGCGCAACAGCTGCAGCCACAATCGTTCATCAACGTCAACTGCACCGTTCATCAACGTCAACTGCACCGTCAAAATATGTTTTCAATCGTGATATGGGCACTCTTTAGTAACGTATTACAAGTATAGCTATTCTGCTGTAAGCTGTCATCTGTTGGTGAATGGTTTCAGGGCCCAGGAGGACAGTGTGGGGGCTGAATGTCCAGGCTCAACAGGTTTTACCAACTGGTGACGTTGGCTTCTGTTGTCGGCAATATCCTGGAGAATTGTCACCACCATTGAGTCAGGCGAGCAAATGCAGACATCTGTCAACTGGCACCACTTCCATTATGTTAATGATGCTTCATGCTCTTCTGTTCACAAAGTCATCATGGCAATCGTTGAGCGAAATAACTGGACCATCAATAACATCCCTCAGGAATCCACCATATTGACATCTGGCCAGTTCATCTGGCAAACGCCATTGAGGCAGATATACACCGTTGGCCTAACTGCCTCTGTTGTACAAACCCCTATAGTTGCCGCTGTACACAGTTAGTGAACAACAATTACCAACGTGAGAGAGGGGGTATTGTATTGAGACAGTTTATCCCTTCATTTAGAGCATTAAGACATAAAACATTTTTCTTCAGGATCCAGCATTAATTATTGAGTACTGCACTCACTGAGCGTGTGCACTGAATCAAAGAATGCACACACTGTGATTATCGGTTATCCCAATGGATTAAATTGTGGTGTTGTAGATAAAAACACATAATGCAATCACAAAATTACAACCACAAACATCTTTTATTGATATGCTGAATGCATAACTCATAAGAAATGATTTAAGAGCATATTTCGTTTACCCAACCTCATACACCAACTGTGACACAAACGAGTACCGTACGTTAGCTGTGTTTAGATTCTCCATTCTGTTTACAAACTCAGCTGTAAAATGCCTGTATTGAGTGAAATAGTTTACTGTCCGTTAAAGACCATCAACATTTATGGACGACACTTTTTACACCTCAACTGAAACCAAAGTGCGTATGAATACACCATAAACTGTTCAATACCAACATTGAAAGAGATAGAGCCCAATGAATTCATTTTCCGTGTGACAGGTGTTACAATAAAACAGTTTGAACGGATTCGCTCTGAACGACATCTCATATCGGACAGGTGGTTCGGCAAGCTGCCGCATTATTTCAATACAGTATTGACCCCTTGACACGGAGCGCTTTCAGAATATATTAACAAATATACCAGATAGCTACATTACAGTTGAGCACATCTAACCATGACTATTTACATAGCGGGCTTCATCACTGTGTGTTTTTGAATGTGTGCTTGATCAGCACTTGGTAGATAGTTAATATGGAATCAGTAAATATTTATACATCTGCGTCCGCCCTCCTGAATGGAATCATATGTCCATGACATGAACGTAACTCGTCAGCAGTGACGAACTTTTAATCCACATCTAGTCTGCCTCCCCGTCTCTGAGCCACATTATATTCCCTGCTGCCCCACCCTCAATGCAATGCTGACCGCCTCCGTGGTGTAGTGGTTAGAGCGTCCACCCGGAGAGCGGAAGGTCGCGGGTTCGATCCCCGACCACGTCATACTAAAAGACGTTAAAATATGGTACTTGTTGGTCCCTGCCTGGCGCTCGGCATTAATGGGTACAACAAGGACTGGTCGGCTCGGGAGTATAATGTGTCTGAGTGGGGTATTCATGCTTCACTGCGGCATGGTATCTCAGTGGGCTAGCACTATAAAACCAGCTTAAGTCTGGGCTAGTACAAGCAGCCGCACATACACATACACACGCATGCACGTCGTCATATGAGCGAAATATTCTCAAGTACGACGTTAAACCCAATTTCACCTCACCTCACCTCACCTCAATGCAATGCTAAAGCTCTAAATGTAGCAAGTCTAGATTTCATCTTGCATCTCACTGGAACTGCTTTTCAGTTTCAATATATTCTTTTTGTTGCTATCAAAAAATTAGATTTTCATAGACTAAGCGCTAGTCTTAAGTATAGTTAGATATTAGGCAAATCCCTCTACATTCGTAACTACTCGTGTCATTCCTGCCACGGAAACTGGCGAGTAGTTACGAATGATCCGACTGTGGTCATTCGGACCTCCCAGATGGGTACATGCTACTCTCTGCGCTCCCTACATGCTGCTTCGGGCATCGGTGGTGTAGGGATTTTACAAAACTTGTCAATTCAATTCAAATTAATTCAATTCTTTATTCTCATAATCACCTTGGTGATACAAGAACATATATTGTAAACATATACACAAATACAAATTCAATTTCAAGATGGCAAACAAAAGAAAACAACATATTAACCATTTTTTCTGACAAGAGATGATAGGTGTATGATATATTTTGATATATTTACTATGTCTCGAGAAGTTTTTGCAGGTAATATTTTCGTAATTTTTATTTTATTAGGAAAAGAGTTTAGATGAGTGGGTAAATATTGTTTCCTCAAAGTATCTAGTGCTTTGCAATGAAAATTATAATGATATTCATCTGCGATGTTTTTAGAAAGGCATAATTGACACGTTCTCTCGTCCCTTGGAATATTATACCCGCGACCCGTCTCAATTGGTAAATTAAGGTTCTAAATCTCAATAATGGTAAATAAATACGTTTTTGAAAGGAGGAAATATGCATCAAAATAAGGAGATGGCTTCAGGTGTTGGTAATAAAGTCCATTGGGACTAGAAACAATGTCATTTTGCCAGTTTTGGATAAATTGATCTTTAAGAATATGTTCAACTTTTGAGACCAGCCACTGGGTTGAACAAACTGAGGAGTTTTCAAAAACATACGAGAGACCAGTATTGTCTAATATACGTTTAACGTGCGAGAGTCAGGGATTATCCTTATTTTATAATATTGTTCTTTGAAATGACGAGTAATTGTAAATTAAGTTGGTAAGCTTAAAAACTCCTTCTTGGTAAGTTAACTTGTACCAAAAGTTTAATAAACGTTCAAATATCATTATTCTAATGGGCAATCTTCCTAGTTCAACTTACAGTATAAAACGAGGGGTTGACTTTCTGTAATGAGTCTTATGAATTATGAGTCTTATGAATTTTAAATGAATTTTCTCCAAAATTTCAAGTTTTCGAAACACCAGACTTCTGCACCATAGGTCAAGACAGGTATTGCCATGAAGTCGACTGCTTACCAAATGTCAACACGTAACGCCAGATACTGCCGCATATAGTCACGTGACATCAGAGTCCCCTGTTCAAGACAGGATGATCCTCTGCCTAATTTGGTAATTAGAAGTACACTTTGATGTGAAGCCAAAATATAACGGAAACAATTCTAATGTTAAAGGTTCGTGATCTGTTGCCATGTTTACTTGTGTCATGTGACAGTCACGTGCGCGAAACTAAATTTAGATCCAGTATGGCGGGTTCCTCTACAGATAATTAGAGTAAAATATCACCATGCCACTTCTAATAGAAACAGAATGAATTTCATTAACATCAGACCTTAATTCTCACTGTCGGTGAGATGAAAGGTCTTTCTGTCGTGACATGTAATGGGACATCCACGAAATGTATTTAGCTGCAGGGAAAACTAAAGTGAGTGAGTATGGTTTTACGCCGCTTTTAGCAATATTCCAGGAATGGGGCTTCACACATGAAAACCAAAGTACGGGTTAATGACATGGAAAAGGTCTTATAATACGGGAGGTATTAAAGGGTGGAGTTTTAAATTCGTTTA